TCTTACTTATTCTTCCGTCCAAAAAAAACTCGGCATTGTTTTTAACCAAATGCTAACCATAAAGTTTTCAGTTTTTCAAAACATGTCTTAAAATCCGTGACAGTCAAACATGGAAGTTTTTTATGGGACAGTGGGAGTATATACAAGAGAGGGGGTGATGAAACAAGGAAAATAAATTACCATAGTATTGCTTAAACCAATTCCCAAACATATACAATGTCTCTATATGCTAACAAAAACAAATTGGAGTTTTTTTAGACATGAAAATTTGGAAAGTTGCCAAAGTGTTAAGGGACAAAGGGAATACAATCTGTTAATTTTACTTTTCAACTTGTAGCATATCAATGAAATCTCATAGAGTTTAAAGAATTTAGTTTATTTGCGGCTAGCTTGGTGCATTTAATTTATGTGTTGTAGCTGGAGGAGCATTGTTGAATTACTTGAATATTTAACCACAATGATAGTAGGAGGTTAGCACATTTTCTATATCATTAGATTACGGATTGATCCATCTATGCAAACTTTAAACTTTTGAGGTTTGTTTAGTTTTGAAGTGATGAAACATCTAGTTGTATCATTTATCATATATTATTACAGAGTAGTTCTTGTATTAAAGTCAATGTGCCTGAAAAGTAGAGCAAAACTAAATATGAACATTGAGTGTTTTAGAACTTGAAACATATCTTTTCCAAGTGGTATTTCCTTGCTTGTAGTATCATTCTATTTGGTCTTTAATTCTACTTAATATGTATAGGTTTTCTGTCTCAATGGATTAGAAACTCAAAATTTTTGTCATTAAATAGCGTAATCATTTTTGTCATCTTTAGGCTACCTTGCACGGTCTTTGTGAAGATCTTGGCATACCATTTCAATCTACAATGCTTAAGTAAGTCCTATCATTTGGGAAGGTTTGACTACTTTCATTGTGGTTTGCCTAGATATTGCTTTGTTTAGTTTTTATTCTTATGCCAAAATTGAAGGCACATTACGCTCCTTAATTTTTGTCTTAATGGGAAGAAAAAGAAAACAAAAACTTGCATGGTATGTTATTTGAACTTTTAACATTTGAGAATAAGGTGCAATACATTGTCTACAATTTTTTTATGCATTCTCTACCAGTTGAAATTTGAATGGGATCCTTGAAATTGGAAACTAAAGGCATGATATAAGTTTTAGATGTATTTTGTCGCACGTGATGAATAAAATTGGTGTTGATCTAATGAAATATGTACTCTCTCTCTCTTTTCGAAAATAAACATCGCCTTTTCCTTTTCTTCCATTCCAAACTAAAGCTCACACTTTCTCTTTCTTCCTATAGAGTAATGAAACATGTGCCCCAAAATTTTTCTCTTCTCTTAAAAAAATCACTACACTATACTTTTCATCACTTTCTTAAACTTGTGACCCCAAAATAAGTTGACATTGGGGTCAAATGTTTTGAACCCAAAGTCAACTGATTTTTGGGCGTTCAATTGACGGGGTGATGGTGGGTTTGGGTTTGGAAGAGGTGGGGGGTTCACCGGGTTAGTGGGTATGAACTGTCAATTTTTTGTACGGGACATTGCAGAGCCCTCAATTACACCGGAGTGCTATTGTCACCCCCAAAATGAGTGTAAGTATAACTTCACCGTTTTCATATTTCAACATTTTTTGTTCTCATTTCTTTTATTTTTGAATATGTTAACTTTACATATAATATTTTATTTTAACTTTTTAAAACTAAGAGAAATTTTTATTAATAGTATATTCCTGCACCTAAAGTACAAAATAAAAATATGCCTTATTTTTGTTGAGTAAAAAAACTTAATTTTACGTTAAAAAAAAGGAAATGTTATTTAAGTTCCAAACTGACAAGGGCCTAAAATATATCTCCACACAAGGCCCTTTTAAGTTTTTTCCCCATTTCAGGAATGGCTACTTCACTTGTTATGGTCACAACCAGTGTATGTTGATTTTGCAATCTAAATTTTATAGTGTGGCATGAACGTGACTATACCAACAACAATCACAACTAATCATTGTCTTAGGATAGTTTTCCATGCAAGTGGAAACTAATAATGATGATGGGTCTTTCGGAATATCATTTCAATAATCGGGCATGAAGCACATCTTATGCAATGCTTTGCCACCATGCTTTCGTGCATGAGTACAAAATGTTACCTAGTTTTAGATTATTGGATATTTACTACTCTATCTGTCCTAAAAGTAACTTCTTGTTGCGCTTTACGATGTTTGAAAAAAGTTATTTTCAATTCAATTTATTGGAGAATTGGTGTGGAATTTAAAATTAATACATCAAAAGATCTACAAAACTAGAGGTGATATAACTATATTGTTTTTATCAAGTAAGTAACGAAAATAAGTTAACAAAGTGGATAAAGTTTGACCTAGTAACTAGGAAGATAGTTTTAGGACAAAGGGAGTATATATTAATGCCCCTGTCCCCAACACGTTGGTATTTAGGTGTTGAACACGGTGGTTATAATGTGGATGCTTTTTGGGGGCACAAATATTTGTGCTGCCCAGCATGAGTTTACAACACAAGTTTCAACTTCCCCCCCCCCAATATCTAGTTTCCTAATAATTTTACTAATTTAGTCTCTTTGTTTTCCTTAGAAAAGTTGTATGAACTCTACGCCTCTCTTTCCTTGAGAAAGCTTGTAATAGTTGTGTAGGGATCATTAGTTTGGACGTGGTCTAGCACCACCTCTCAGGCAAAGAGGTGAGTTGTGTGACTTCTACCAAACACCATACCTCCTCTTTTGGTTATCACTCATCTCTTCCAACATTTTCCTGGAGACGTTGGATAATGGCTTGTATGTTTGATCTTATCAGCTCGTTGTCTGGTTCCCTTTCATATTAAATGCTTGTGCAATTTTGATTTTGGATTAAAGACCTCTAGTGTAGATCTTGGAAGGGGTTTACTTATTGTTGTATTGGATCCACCTTTTTAGTCAGTGATCACAAATCTTGACAACTAGAGGACTCTGATGATTACTTTTAGAGTATTGTAACATACGTACCTTATGCTTGCAATTAGTGCCTAACGATTCACATGTTAATTCCAGATGGGAAGCAGGGGCAAAACCATATGATGGAATTTGGGCTCCATGGTGGTATGAATCCATACATAAGTCAACGTGTTTCACTCCGCCTCGAAAGTATCCTTTGGTATGTCTTATACAGTTTTATGGTTAACTATGTACAGTGTATGATGAGCTGCCATATCATTTTGAAGTAGATAATAGTTTACTTTTGGTATGTATATAAATACTCTAAAGAAGAACTTATTATGTGTGCATGGTAGTTGTGAATTTGTATTTTGTGGGTTTTTTCACACCTCATTGTCTCTTTTAGCATATGTGAAGGAAATTTAGTCAGATACCCTTTTCTTTTATTTAAAGTGAATAGCAAGTGGTTATTTCTTTTAATGGTGCAAATGTGTTCTAAAGGCATACACAAGTCAACAATTCAACATGCTCCACTCCACCTAGAAAGTATTCTTTGGCATGTGATTGACAAATCATTGTTAAACTAAGAAAAAATATGTGAAAGACTCCATCTTTGTTTTTTGAGTAACATGTAAGTAACCATATTTGTAATGGTACGCTGGGCATACCGGAACAACTCAAGGCCAACAAGGCCGAAATCAAAAGTCAACGGTACAATGGGGATAAAGTTTATTATAAACTCCCTCCTTCCCAAAAAAAGGCTCCTAGTTTGACTTGGCACAAAGTTTAAGAAAGTAAAAATGTGTGGTTGGAAGTTATGCACAGAGGAGAGAGAAACATTGTGAGCCACTCAAAGTTGTCCAGAAAATGAAAGAGAAGACTTTTTTTGGGACGTCCCGAAAAAGAAAATAGTGAGTCTTTTTTTGGGACGGAGGGAGTATAACTTTATACACCAACACTTTCAACTTTCACCTTAACAACAATACTACAAACATAGAATGATTGGCTATCAGACAAAATGCTAGTCCAGACCTTCCAAATCATGTAGATGGTGCAGTTCAAGGCTAGTCTGGTTACCCTTTTCCTAGCCACGGGCCTATGGTGATCTTTCCTGATCCATCGAACTACCCTTTCCAAGATAGATAGGTGCCTCCCAATGCCCAACCAACTTTGAATAGCACTCCATACATGTGCTGAAACAGTGCACTGGAAAAATAAATGGGAAGTGCTTGACGGTTCTGTATCACACAACATAAACTGCCTGGGGATGTCAAGAAAAGTCAGGGCCACCTTCGTAGGTAGCCTCTTCCGATACGCCAGCCAGAGGGCAAAATAGAATTTAGGCAGGATATAAACATCCCAAATGAAGATCATCCATGGTTTAGGGTGTCCCCTAGTACGGGTCTTTTTAAACAAGCGTGAGTCCTGGGAGTGCGGAACCCATTCCCACGCCGATCTCCCCGAAGATAAACCGCACCCACTTCATCCAGAGAGTGTCCTTCTTAACATGAATATTCCACAAGATCTTAGCAAGCAATTTCGTGTTCTACACATAGCAATCCCTAAGCCCTAGGCCCCCTAAGGTGTTATACAGGCGTACATAAGTCAACTGCTCCACTCCACCTAGAAAGTATTCTTGGTATGTGGTTGACAAATATTTGGTAAACGAAGAACAAAATATGTGAACGACTCCATCTTTGTTTTCTGATGTTTTTTGCACCAATACTGACCATACACTAACACATCTTATTATTTTCCCCATTTTGTTGTCTTTTTTAATAAACCAAACCCTGATGTAATTCGTAATTAACCATCATTCAGAATTGGCCACTTGTTCCAAATTCCAAAATTAAGCTGATGATGAAATGTGTACTTTTATTTGATGCTCCTTACCAACAACTATGCAAAATATTAATCCTTAGTCAAAGGGGTTCACTATATGTCTATATGACGTATTAATTTCCTTTTTAAACATGAAGGCAGTTTGACACATATTCAATGTTCTTGAATTTAATGAAAACTATTCTCTTAGACTACTTATCCTTCAAATTATTTTCAGCCTTTTCCGTTGTCTTTGTATGAGTTGCTGGAGCAAAGCCTTCCTTTATATAACATGCTTCGGAGTCATTCCAGAAGGACTTTGCCTCTTCCCAAAATTCCTATTCCAGCCAATGAAAAGCTTCTTGCATGGGTTGGGGATGAACTTTTGCCCCGTGAGAGTGCAAAGGTAACTTTATGTTTTAGTAATAAGGATTTAATATCTATGAATAACTCAGTTCAACTGACACCGACCAATATGATACCGAGGCCATTTGGGGGCCCTACAACGCAGGTAAGGGGTGGGTGGTGCTGGTCGCCTAGATGGGAACACGGAACCTTTGGGGACAGGAGGATCCTCCCTCGTTCCCAACAAAACACCGTAAAGCCCCCAAATGCCGTTGATGTCATATTATTACACCGGGGGCCGGTGCTGATTGAACCGTGGCGATATACGAAAGCAAGATGGAAAATGAGATTCCTTTTTCAACACCAATTTTCTCTGTTGAAATGTAAGCACTTGCTTTTATGTGCTGGGATTTTAAAGTTTAACTTAACACAATTGCAAAATATTCAGGTCTCCGTGTTTGATTCTGTTGTCCAAGGAGGTGATGCAGTCTGGGAAGGGCTTCGAGTTTATACCGGGAAGATATTGAAGCTTGAAGATCATTTAGATCGGTTTGTCGTTATAATTCTTATACGGAGTAATAATTTAATTGTTGTATTGTTAGAGTTAGCAACTTGCTATTGATTTCCATATATTCTAATACTCCGTCCCAATGTGTTTGCCAACATCAACCCATGAAGAATGTTTCAATGTTTTTGACAAACAAGAAAAATCTTATGAAACCATTTCCATATTATTAGGCATGGCATTTTTAATTTTTTATATTAAATAATGGTCAGAGTTTGCAACACTACTACATATCGGTCACACTCCTTTTTTTCTTCTAACTAGTAAATGGTCCTTTCAGAAGATACGTACTTCTATGCATATAAGATTCCTAACATTAACATGGGTGCAGGGAAATTAGTTATTAATGACATTAAACTATCATCAACAAAGAGACATGGCAATATAGTATTTCACATATATGCTTTTCTTTAGTGGTGTGGTACTTGAAGAGAGAATTAGTGCAAGTGTTTTTAAGGTCGGTTTTCTAACATAATTTATGTATTTTATTGATACTGGTTTCAAATTTTCAATAATGTTTATCAGTTTCTAACATAGCTTTTTTAACACAATGATGATCAGTTTCCAACATAAAACAGTCAACTGTGGTTTATAGTTTATACAGTTTATTTTGGATGGATGGGTAACATGCTAACACATGACATTGTGTTGTTCTCTAATGTTCTATTATTTTGTTAGGTTGTTTGACTCAGCTAAAGCCCTTGCTTTCTCTAGTGTTCCAACTCGTGAAGAGGTAATATTTCCTCCCACATTCAATTGGTTCTTCTATGACAAGCTACTCATTGTTTTTAACTTATCTTGTGCTTTTAAGTCTTGGAGTATCAGTAAAATGTAAAATAAACATGATACACATTTTTATATGCATAAAATGTTTAGATTTACTTTAAACAAACACATGCAGATCAAGGATGCCATATTCAAAACACTTATAAGTAATGGAATGTTTGACAATGTGCATATACGACTAACTTTAACACGGGGCAAGAAGGTATGTCTACATATCCCTTTCCCCCCAATCTTTTGAGTTTAGGAGTTCTTATATTATACATTTGGATGTACAATGCTTATTTTACATCCGACATATGCTTATTATATTCACACCTTTCACCTAATTTTACTAAATCCATACCAATATCAAATTTATATTAATGAGCGTGGTTTACAAAAATTAGGTAAAAGGTGTGGAAATAGCAACACCTCATTTTGTACAGTTAATTCTTTTCATATAATTAGAGCATGCACATTATGGAATTGAGACTTGCACATTTAATAACAAGTTAAATATATTTTGTCCCTGTAAAATGAGAGCTTTGTTTTTGGTCCTTGTAAATTTTTTTGTTTAAGTCATCTTTACGAAATTTTTTATTTTGAAAATGGTCCTTATAAGTAATTAAGACTTTTAATTTGTTGACATAGCACATTTATTTTGTACTCAACAACTTAGTGTTGCATTTCTAATTACTTCAGACTCAATTCTAATGCCCTAAATTGTGTCCTTTTATCAAATTACATCTCCAATTCCCAAATTTTTATTATATTACTCCCTCCGTCCTGAAATTAACTTTCCAGTTTGAGTTTCGGGTCAAACTTTTTTAAATTTGGCCGCATATTTCAAGAAAAGTACATTGAATTTTTATATAAATTTAATATGATAGATTTATTATAAAACATTGTTTTGAAATATTTTAATTTATATTATATATTTGTATATGAATAGTAATATTAATGGTCAAAGTGTTGCATTGGAGACTGAGAAAAGTCAAATGGAAAGTTAATTTTAGGACAAATGTAGTATATTCTTTAGAAATTTGGTACTTAGAGATGTAATATGAATAATTACACAATTTAGGGCTTGTAAATTGTGTCTGACATAATTAGAAATGCAGAACCAAGATGTTGAGTATGAATTAGATGTGTTATCTCATCTAATTAGAAGTGCTAATTACGTTTAAGGACTATTTTCAAAATAAGAATTTTGTAAGGATGATTTTGAAATTTTTTATTTATAGCGACCAAAAACAAAACTCGCATATTTTACACGGACTAAAAACATATTTAATCCTTTAATAATTGCATAATGCTGATTTCGTTGCCAATTATTGTTGTTGCTAATAACGTTTTTAATCAATAGAAGAATTAAAAATGGAACCTTCAAAATAAAATGAAAATAAAATTACAGAAAACCACACATTTGTTTTTTTGTACATACTCAAAGCATGCACATCATAAAATTAGGGTATGCACATTTACAAGCTATATAATACTCATTGGATGTACATAAAAGTAGATACATTTAGATGTACGATATAATTTCCTAAATTTTAATGACTTATGTATTCATCACACAAAATCCTTCAGTTTTTTCTTAATGTTTTTCAATTTATAACTCTTGTTTTTTTTTTAAAACGAATTTATAAGTCTTGTTAGGAATAATGAGGCTTCAATTTACTTGCGGTTCAATTTTTTTAATATTTAAATAGGCTTCCATTATTTCTGATGGAGCCAAAGATTCATTATTTTTTGCTTTGGGATGTGATGGAATAAACTAAACAAAATGAGGTGTGCGGTAGCATGAAGACTTGATTAAATTGAGATAAGCAGAAACAAAATGTTGCCTTGGCATTGGAAAATAACAAAGATATCCCTTTCAAACTCATGAATATCCAAGGATGACACGTTCGATGGATCTAGTTTACATTTTTGTGCATCCTTGTGTTGTGTCGTGAACAAAACAAACAATGCAAAATTATGGGGCGGTGAGGGAAACCATTCACAGGTATGAGACCTCTAGTATGATAAAATCACGCTTAGAATTCTTTTGCCGGATGCTTTCTTTCAGGCTTTTGCGTAACTATAAGCTGCATGAAAGAAGATTCTCTCAAAGTAACCACTCATGGTTGGAATAATGGAATTCAATGAGATTTCTTCACGAATTGACTTTAACTTTTCAAGTGAACATCATTCGTCTAAGACAAAGACCACAACAAACATCCGGCAATTGGTTGAATAGTATTGGATGAATTGGTTGATTAGTACTGGATTACATCTTTTCACAACGTACACTTCCCCTTTCTCGGTAATTGGTTGAATAGTATTGGATTAAATAGCAAGTGCTTGGATCGCTTGAGAAAGTTTTGTGTATCCTGCTCTTGTTGTTTGTGATTAGCTATCTTAGATCTGAATGAAAACAAACTAAGGATGTCATTGCTATTGTTTGCCTTAGCATTGTCCCTTGGTTGCTTGCATGTCACGGTGTCCAAAAAAGTTTGGGATCCATGGATTGCCGCATCATCACATTGCTCAACAGGGCATCCATGACCTCCCACTTTGTTTTCTTGTTGTTGATAAGAACATCTTTAGTTTAGTGGTTGACTTGACCTTGACCCTTAATCCACAACTACACAGAAAACACCCCACAACTGATAGTGTGAACTGTGAACTTCCCAGCAAATGTTTGGTAGAAGTGGTAGGAATGGCTGCAAATAAGGAAAAACTCAAGGCCTTTAAAATTGTTGAATAGCAATGGTATGATCAAGGAGTTCTGATCAGAACAGTATTCAGAGGCGACGCGTGAGGGTGGTGATGTGGCATGCTGGAAACACCTGTGCAGACGTCTGAGAGTTTGGAAATAGAATAATGTGTGTGAGCGTGGCAGTGGGACTTCAGACGATGAGTCACGATAACAAAATGGGTCTGGTTGGAAGTTCAGATTTGATTGATCACTAAAGAATTATTATCGTTGTAAAGATGGAAAGTGATACTATTCACACCAGTAAGAATGCTACACACGAAAAACTGATTGGTTTTGGTACCATGTGAGATAGGACAGAATTCACCTGATTTCAGTATTTACAAATGAGATCTATTTATACTCGTGAGAGTATGCTTACCAACCTTATTCTTAACATAAGGCATAGAATAACCTCGTAATAAATTTGCATGTAAGCCATAAGCTTGTGGCTAGACTTTTAATAATTGGTTTTGCCGAGCCAACTTGTAGGTGTTGTGTATAATTTCTATGATAGTGTGCAAATAGCACTGCTCTGGAAAGTTTAACATTTTGTTTCTATGATGTGATAGTTTGATTGTCATCTTTCTCGGTTAGGTATCTTCCGGAATGACTCCTGCTTTAAACCTTTATGGATGTACTTTGATTGGTAAGATTCTTATTTCTTTCATTGTATAATATCTTATTTGGCTGAATCAAGCTATGATAGGAATCATAGAGGATCTGAATAGGAAAATATAATATACTGTATTAAGAAGGATTTGAGCAAGAATCTCACGATATAACTCTCATTACCCTAACAGTAGTGTTGAAAATAATAATATGTTTTTCATGATACTAAAGGCTGAGATATATCATAGTATTTATAGAGTCTGATTACAACTGAATAGTAAAATTATGTAGAAAATAATCTCTACAAAATAGGGGTTATAAGACACTAACCTTATCGAATCCTAAAAATAAGCAACAATGTTTAAATAGAATTAGACTCCAAAAACAATATATATCCTAATAATTAATGACTTGAAAGCTAGCAGTTTTTAGAGTGAATTCCCAAATCAGTCCTTTCTAATAAGGTGTTTTCCCAAATTAGTCCTTAATAAACAATATTTACCAACATGGTCTTCTATAATAGAGATGCATTCCCTAAATAGTCCTCTGCTGAAAATGTCTATTAAATGTCAATCAAATAGAAGGTATTTTGATATTTTCTATCATCTAAACTTAAAGTATGTTCTCGAAATGCTTCTTTGTACTTAAGTATTTTTTTCAAACTGATAATTTTTAAGTAAATTCTTTTCTGAAATAGAGTCCACGGAGCCTACTTGAGGTGGTTCTGTTCCTCTAGCGGCCACCACTTGATTTGAAATGATCATTTTGAGGACTTATTCATATTTTAGATGATGGAAAATACAAAAATACACTCTATTTAGCTGTCATTTAATATTCATTTTTGAAAGGAGACTATTTAGAGAATACATCTCAATTACTCCCTCCGTCCACCTAAGTTCTTCCCGTTACGCGTTACGAAGCTTGACCGACTTTATTTTCAATTCAATTTAATTGATTATAGGAGTAAAATTTTAAAATAAAATTTATATAGTAATAAACTATATGAAAAGTTCTACAAAACTAGAGGTGACAAGACTATATTATTTTACGAAATGACTAGTAATAATGAGCAAACAAAGTGAGTAAAGTTTGACCCTGTGAATAGTGTTTGGGTCTTTGGGAAGATCTATGGTGGACAGAGGGAGTACAAAGGACTATGTTGGTAATCATTGTTTATTGAGGACTAATTTGGGAAAATACCTTATTAGAAAGGACCATTTTGAGAATATACTCTAGTTTTTAAATCATCATATGTTAACTAGGGAATGGGAAAGTGGGAAACATGTGCAGCCGCTCGTGTAAAACACTTATACCAGGAACAGACACTGAAGTTGAGCTGGTGAATTATCCTCTGAAATCACTCTATGAAGCTTATACTCTCTGCCATTTACCTAGAAAATTATTGGTTTGGGTGGTGTTCAGTGAAGCCAGCCCTTTAATCCCCTACACAAGATCAATGTCTTTTAGTGTGAATGAGAAATTATCTTGTTCAATAACTGGGTCATAGAACTTACCTCCAAATCTGTGCAAAACTGCTAACTCAGTTACATGTTACGAGTTATCACCCTCAAATCCATTGTTTGAGCACCAAAACGTGAGTAGCGAGTCTCACCTCCAAAACTAATGCTTATAAGATGAGTTTGTGGGTAGACCCACAATTTACCAACATCAAAATTTCACGACCCAATATGGACCCTTTGATTTGCATGTGCCAGAATTAGCCTAACCTACCATTGCATTGAAAACTACGTCAATATCTCTTCCATCACTTCTGATATTGTCTTCACCTTTTGAGAATTGAATGAATTCTTTGTTTTTGATGAAATTTAGGATGGGTAGGATAATTGGATTGGGCAATAAGACGCTTTGGCTGACCATATTAAAAGATTGAATCCGATCGATTAGTTAGTTCAACTCAAGAGCTTATATATCGATTATTTTACTCTTGGATTTCCAATGTAGGATAATCTCTAACAATCCCCCTCAAGTGGACAACTAGGCCATTTTGAATCTAACTAGTTAAATGAATATTTGAGCAGCAACACCTAAAGGATCCAAGGTCGCTAGGTATGGACCTCTAGACGAACAATCGGGTTAAATGGGCCACAAATCGTTGGATATATGTATTTCATATAGACAACTGAGCTAAAGACAAACGGGTCGCGAGGAATGAACTTCTAGACAGGCACCTTGACAAACGAGGTGGGCAAAAACCTGCTCCGATATCATGATGAAATTTAGGATGTGTAGGGATAATTGGATTGGGCAATAAGATACTTGGGCTGGACCACATTAATAAGATTGGATCCAATCGATTAGTTAGTTCAACTCAAGAGCTTATATAACGATTATTTTACTCTTGGATTTCTAATGTGGGATAATCTCTATCAGTCTTCTTGAATATGTTTCAAGAAGAGAGCTGAAATCACATCGTCTGAATTATTCAAATTCATCATCACGGTTGTCAGTCTGATGGGAATGTCATTTGCCTTTGTCATGCTTTTCATCTTGTGAAGCTGAAATGGCGACCAAGGTATTCACTGCAGTAGCAGAGAAAGCTCCACGATCATAAGAACAAAGAGGATTAGAATTCGTATTTGACAGGACCAAATCAAAGCAAAGTAGAATAATTTATTGATATAAACTGTACAGGAATATTTTTATATTTGTGTTCTCTAAATATAAATAGAGATCAAACCAACATGACTTTTACTAACTAACACAACTATTGCAAATCAACACACCTATGAACAATACAAACTACCCATAACTGCCTTTTAGAAACTGCCCAACTTTTTTTATTTATATTAATTAAATATGTAAAACACACTAAATGACACCACACTAATTGACTCTATACTAACTGACCCGAACATTGACTCATTGCCCATTCGGCTATATGTGAACAAACCCGATTAAATCTAACAATCACGCCCTTAATCGTTGTTTGTTCACATTGATCTTCACAGCAATGTTGGTTCATCATCTTCAATTAAATTTGCAATCTGTTCTTTTTTATCCCATTTTGGACATTCGTTCAAAAAATGCCCTAACTCATTGCACTTTTAGCACCTAACGTGACTCTTATCCCGCTTAAACCGATCACCATCCTGACCTTTGCCGGACCCCCGACCTCTACCTCGGCCACGTCCAAAGTCTTCTCGGTTTAAGCTCCAGCAACCACCACAATGCTCACATTTGTGCTCCTGAACCTTCTCTTTTCCATCACCTTTAGTGAAGAGTAGTTTACCATGTGTATCTCTTTCATCAGTTGGCTTTTTGATGTGTTCCTCGAATGCTTTCAATCTTTCTACCGCTTCTTGAAATGACATTGCGTTAATTTCAGCAAACTGTTCAATTGCAGCAACGATCTGTATGAACTTTTCAGGTACAGAACCCAAAAGCTTTCGAACCAATCTTGTCTTCAAATGCAGACCCAAGGTTGTTTGCTTGTGTTGGAAGTTGACTAATTTTACCAGCAAAATCATCAAGTGACTCATTGTTCTTTATCTTTAGAGTCTCAAAATCTGATTCAAGTGCTTGTAATCGCGCTGTTTTAACCCTGTCAACACCAACAAAGTGTCAACACCAACAAAGCGAGTCTTCAAACCATCCCAAATTTCTTTTGCTTCACTAAACTGAGCAACTTGTAGCACAATCTCTTCCGGCAAAGCTTGAAACAAATATGCTATTGCCATATTGTTCTTCTTTGGCTCGATTTCTGTTCTTGGTTCGATCGCCTCCCAAATCCCATTAACATTTAAAATTGCTTTGATCTTTACGGCCCAAATAGTGTAGTTTGTTGTAGTTAGAATTGGAACCTAAAAAGACAGTGAACTATTTTCCCTTGTAGTCACAATCTGTCTATTGTCTTTCATTGCACGACTTTAACTCCTTTGACAATTTTCACAAAATTCTTCGACTTTGATTCCTTCCTGGGTTGTAAGCCACCTGCAATCGACCCTCAACCAGAAAACAAGACCCTGCTTTTCCGTCTTCCAAGCCACTAAACGAAAGCTACCCCGCTGATTCGTTTTTCCCGCGTTGTTTGGTTGGAATCCTTCTGCAAAACAAAAAACTAGCCACCTACTATTTTCGTCCTAGGCAATGAAGGTCTTGTCGAAGAATCTTGATCTGTTGTCGAGGAAGTCTGTAGCGCTTTGTATTATGATCTGGCAGCCCTTCTGCTCCCGATCGTGCAACTCCTGATCACAGACCGCTCCCTTTGATCGTTGGGTCCTTATTGGATTTTTGCTCCGATACCAATTGTTAGACAGGACCAAATCAAAGCAAACTAGAATATTTTATTGATGTAAACTGTACAGGAATTTTTGTGCTCTCTAAATATAAATAGAGATCAGACCAACATGACTTTTACTAACCAACACAACTATTGCAAACCAGCACACCTATTAACAATAGAAACTACCCATAACTGCCGTTTAGAAACTGCCCAACTGTTTTTTATTTAAATTAATTAAATATGTAAAACACACTACACGACACCACACTAATTGACTCTATACTAAGTGACCTGAACATTGACTCATTACCCATTCGGCTATATGTGAACAAACCCGATTAAATCTAACATATTCACCATTCTTAACAAAGCTCTAGTGCCAAATGATAGGAACCAAACTACCAAAGAGGAACTGAAAAGAAAAATAGGTCAACATCTTTAAGGACTTGAGCAAGAATCTCACTCAATAATGTTTTAATAGCCAACGATGGTGAAGGGAACACATAACGAAGGACGTTGTAAAGTTCCCTTGGAACAAAAGTAAAGTCTTGTCCTCTGCTTCTAGAGCCAATGTTTTGCAGTAATTCTTTTTATCATATCCCTCCTATACCCTTACTAAGGGGTTTTTATATCTAGCGGGTTACATTTTGCAAAATGGATATGAAGAGAATCAATCTTGGATAACACTCTATCTATTCCCTAACTCATTCAAGGATAACATAATATATTTGTTCCATAACATTCTTCCCTGGAATTATTCATCAATCATATGATTAGCTTGACCAAATTAATTGATTTGATCTGTACCAGAATTGGTCATTGAAGGTGGTTGTGAATGAGTTACGGAGGATAGTACAATCTAAATAATGAAATAACTTAATTCATGAGAAGCATTACAGATTGGCCTTAATTAAGGCAATGGGTCTTGGTGTATTATTGTTGTGCAGTATATTAGAATTTTTTTAAATGATTACCTTTCTCGTCCAATCATTGAATGTAACTTTTTTGGACGAGTTCTTGACTCCAAATTTATCATCAAGTTGGTTATAGAATTTGCTTCCAACTTTATAATTGTTCATAATTGCCCTAGGCTTTTAATCTTTGCAGAAATTGTTCATAACTTTAATGTTAATGGAATTTTCTCTATATTTTTTAATCTTTAAGTGGCTTGTATTATCTACCTTATTTTATTGCTGCTTCTGATATTTTTCAGTGCTTCCTGAATGGAAACCACCTGTTTATGACAATGCAAAAGGCATCATGTTGGTGACAGCAACCACTAGGCGTAATTCTCCAAATGTAAGATTTGTGTCTTTTTTTGGGTACATGAGATTTGGATGTTACTTGACATATGGATGGTGCTAAATAGTCACTCTAGGGAAAAAGTTATCAGAGGATTAAAACTTAAAAAGTGTACCAAAGATATAACATGGTGACCTAAAGTGTCATCTATTAAAATTTTAATAAATAAATATGAAATCTGAACTATGATAGTTATTTTAATGATATTTGAACAATAAATTATGCCATCCAAGAATAATTCGTTATAGACTGCTCCTGTCGATAATGATCATATTGTCATACCTAGCTTCATACACTATGCATGCTGATAAATAAATAAAAAACTTTCACTCTTCTTATGTTCCTGCCACTGTCATTTGAAATACTTGATATCTTGATTTTGTTAATATAATATTGTAAATTTGAGGGACTCTCTTTTTCATATTGTATAACTGGAAACTGTCTTCCTCCACAGAATTTGGATTCCAAGATTCACCATAACAACCTTCTCAACAACATTCTTGCTAAGGTAACATTCTCACGATGTGTTTGATAAGTACAGTTTTTTTCATGATGCTAGTGATATATCTACACATATTGCATGAGAAAAGTGTGGTGGACTGGTGGAGTTAATTTAATATTTTTACATTTTAGTGGAATCTGCTGCCGTATGAAAAGTCGGTTCTCTTATCATTATCTATATATTATCCCATAACAACCATTTTTCTCCCATTGAAAATCGTTTGAGTTAATTTATAATGTATCTTTTACTCAACATGGATGATGATGCATCGATATACAGTGAATATTTGCCTGGATTAGAAGGGCTACAGGAGAGTAGTATAGTTATGTGCAGCATGCACTAACCCCTTGTTTGATCCGAATGAGGGAAAGGGAAGTTAGGAGAAAGGTAGAGGAGGGAGCGGCGGAATGCCGTAGTTGAAAAAGATCTTTTGTTTGGCTCTATTGAATGTTCCTTAGTCTTCGAAAACGATCCTCGAAAGGTGAAGTTTACCTCACTCTTAAATGCTAGACTCAAAGCCACTAGACAACCCTTGCCAGACACTCAACAAGTTCAATGGAAGAGTAAGGAATTAATATTTCATAAAAATATGAAGAAAAACGTTATACTGAATATAATTGTTGATATTTTTTAAAAACGTAATCAGGTATATGTGTCTCACATCTCCACCAAAATCCTCCAACCCGACCTGGAATGGATTAACAGCTTGTAACCTGTTCGTGCATTTAAAATTGTGCTATATTTCTACATGACTTTTGATTTCAGATAGAAGGGAATAATGCAAAAGCTGATGATGCCATCATGCTCGATAAAGATGGCTATGTGGCGGAAACAAATGCTACAAACATTGTTAGTATTCCAGTTTTGGTTCAACATTTTTAGTATTGATTATCCTATGGAGGCATTGTATATTGAATTTATTTATTTTTACTTGAAATACCTTAAGAAGAGAACTGATAAATGTTTCCTGGTCCTCTTTATATCAACGTGCATAACCAAATTAACCCCTCTTACTTCTCGTCCTCAAATATATTTGTTAGTTTTTAATTGTATTATAGTGTGGTACTGTGGTCCATACTTGATACTCCCTTTTCCTACTTGGGTCATCCCTAATTAATCTTCCTTTCTCTGTCTAAGGAAAAAATTGTGTGGTTTATACTCCATATCAATTCTTTCATTTATAAATGCATCTCAATTACACTATTCCATTTTCCTAAACTCTGTGTAGAAGAAAGAAAATGGGTATCAAATAGGAATGGAGGAAGTATATTCTTCTCAGGGTGGGGTTATTATTGTCAGATAAAACTGCATTCGTTGTATTATTTTCCTATTTCTATTTTCTAAGCATCAGGATCAGTACCAGGTAGACTATAATGCCCTAAGACCTAGTCTTCTTTATATGATTTTAGTTTTTACTTACACTGTCTATTTCCTCAGTCCTCATCACACACATTCTAGTTCCAACAACCATTGCTTGAATGCTGGTGAATATTTCACTTTTTTCGTTATACTTATGTCAAATAATGCAGTTCTTGGTGAAGAAAGGCCGTGTGATGACACCTCATGCTGACTTCTGCCTTCCTGGTGTAACAAGAGCTGCAGTAAGATCTACTTTATTGCATGTTTTGATGTATAGCTGAAAAAAAGTTTGCCAGTCCCTGCTAGTGTAGTATTGTTTTGAAAAGCAAAGGAGAAAAAAATATCAGAACTATTGGTATAATTATCCTTACTGGACAAGTTCAAGTGGATCTTTCATCACTGAAGAATTGACTGTAGAAAATTGGCTGTTCACTGCTTCAAGAGTTTAAAGATTCCTTAGACATTGTCTTATAAGGAACTAAAAATCATTTATTAACCACTCTACTGTTTGTAAGCCTTGGGAAAATGTTCCTATGTGTGGCTATCATGAACTTGTCTAAGTATAGACCTGGAAATTATTGTCAAGGGAACATATATGTTACACGAACGATGAATGTAATTTTGTCAAGTTTTTTTTACTCTCTTTCCTGAATCAATTTCAAATATTTTAGTTGGTTAAGGTGTTAAAGTATCACATGTTCCATGAGTATCTCTAATCCCTTAGTCAACTAAAAACACATTCTTTTTTATCTTCTGGACCTTCGAGAGGATTTAACTACTTAGTTTTTCTATACGTTTCTCAAGGCAGAATGTTTTTCAGGTGATAGAGCTAGTGCTGAAGGAGAATTTGGTTTTTGAGGAGCGACGCATTAGTCTATCAGAGTTTCACACTGCAGATGAGGTAACTATACTTTTGCAAAAATGCTCGAGTGATGTAGTTAGTTTTTGTTTGCTTCATGATCACTGCCATTCAGAATTACAGAGGGTGTAATAGGTTTTGATAATTGTTCTTGTGGAAGACTTCAAAATAAGCTCAATATGGTTAGGCTTTTTCACTGATTTTAACCAAGAAAAGAAAAAATTATCTGGTCTATTGACATTCTCTTAACCTTTTGTTTTTGTTCAAATTTGAAATTTCATTTGATCTGTTTTTTCCATTTTAGCTTTTCTACCATCCCTTTTCGAAATAAATTACTTCTCAATTCTTTACACCAATTATGGGCCTCCATTTATGCCTGGTGCAGGTTTGGACCACTGGAACTATGGGGGAACTTACCCCGGTATGGATGCTTAACTTTTACGGCATGATTTCCGGCATACAGCTGTTTCGAATAATTCAGTGATGCTGTTTGGGACCTTCTCTCTTTAAATTCCATTTTTATTTTACCTAAATGGATCAGGTTACAAAGATTGATGGGCGGCTTATTGGAAGTGGCCATGTAGGCCCTATAACACTTAGGTTACAAGATGCTTACAGAAAGCTCACAGAAGAGTCAGGAGTTCCTATACCAACTTATCAGACGACGTGAATATTGGGTCTCTAAAGGTTCTATTTCAATGCTCATTCATGTTCATTTATCCATATACGTATTTATTTACAGCTAATAAAAGATCAAAACAACTGGAAATTGTAAATGAATTCCTAGCAAATCAAATCATTTCAGTCCAATAATAGATTCTTAAATCTCCACCTCAACAAAGTTACTACCTTTGCCCTTTTCTTAGTCGCTCAAACCCTTCAACCTAATTATTTCAAGAAGCTAATCAGCTACAAAGTACATTGGTAGGCTTAAGATAGGATATTAATATACTAGTCTGCACTGCTGACTGCAGCTAAATTGATGTGGTGGTATTTAACTAGCCACTTAATGTATTCATTAACTAGTGCCACTTCTATTCCACTTTGTGATTACACTTACCTGTTTAGTCTACCCTAATGTTATGATCCTTTTCCTAATTTAAACTTCGCTAATTTTTTACTTTCCATTTTTATCCTTTTATCTATCTTTTCACCTTTTACTAAGTGGTCTTCCTATTTATGAGAAAAAAGTTACAAGCTTTAAACGACTAACATCTCCCTTCACTTTCATGAAGATCATGCCAAACTCTAATTATCCAACATTATGGTATGGAGGGAGTGTGTTTGTGTGATTTGCATGTTTATACTTGCTACAGTGTGAAACTTTCAGTTATTATTACTGAAAAACCAAACTTGAATGCCAAACTAAGCTCTATGGGGACATTTAGGATTGATTTACATTCTCTTTTGCAAACTAAGTAGAAGGACCAAACCGGATGTTGTTGGCAGGGTGAATATGGTACTGACAGTATATTGTTAGTGATGATGCTGACACTATACTGTGGACCAGGGCCGGCTCAAGCCAAGGGCAAAGAGGCCACTTGGGCAGGGCCCAATTGTAGAGGGGGCCCACTTTTTTCTTATGAATATATTGTATATTTATTTATTTATGATTAAATTATTTATACTATACTTTCAGTATAATTTTGATCACCTATTATTGTTTAAAATGTTTGGCTGTAATTATTTTCAATTCATTTTATTTTTTGTAATTTGGTGTAGAATTAAAAAATAAAATTTACAAATTTAAAAATTACATCAAAATTACTAAATCTACCAATTTTACTCTCAAGAATGCTAGAAAAACTTTATGAATCCTTGGCTAGTTATTAAGGTATGTAAGATTTATAAGACTATAAATTTGACTTTTATAATTTTTATTACTATTGTACATATTAATTTTTATTATTGTTAAAAATATAATTTCTAGATTATACGGAGTATTTCATTGTGATTCAATGACCTATTTTCTGGGCGTTGTCCAGGGCCCTTAATTTCTCGGAGACGGTCCTGCTGTGGACGTATGTATCCAATATATAACATACCTGCTATTATAAAAGGCCATTGGTATCTAATAGTTGGTCTACCTCAAAACTGTTCAAATGATGCACACTCTTACTGAAGTGTAACCTGCACCTATTTTGACTTTATTGTGCAGTTTGTGGCTTTCCATGCTTTTCCAATATCCTTAGGGTATAAGAAACTAATACTATCCTTTTTTTAATACTAGGTTTGTGAGATGGTGGGCTGTGAGCAGTGGAGTTTCTCTTTCTCACTTTGCGTTGAAGAACGGAGAGATGGTCAACGGTTGGTTATCAGCTACCCTATGGTCATGGTGTTATAAACTAGTCAGTGATAAGGCATAAAACCCCATTGGTTTAATGTGCAGCTTTGTTTCTTTGTTCTGGCAATAAAAGGTTGTGTAACATGTAGCCTTATTCGAAATGCAAGGGATATGAAGTTGAAATGTCCCATTTTACATTCTATGATTCCTTTCGTGAATAACAATGGTATGTGTATAAATACTAATCATATAATGAAGTACTCCGTACTTTTTATTTTCCAAGATGAAAATAATAGTTTTTCATCTGTTGTAAGTGTAACTCAGACGAACCGATTTCTCGTAAAATAGAAGTTAACCTCCCCTTGAAGGTTAGTTTACAATGAGTATTGGAGTGGGCGGAGGAAATGACCTAATGACTAATTTTTCCAACAAGGCGAAGGTTAGGGCAAGTTGTGGAAGTCTAGTCGGTTGGATTTAGAGAGTGATTTGACATTACATCTTAGTGAGTTGGTGTGTTTCTTTTTACTTAAGAGCTGATTTATAAGTTGTTTATAACTCAGAAAAAATAAGTAAATTTTACATACTTATTTTTATGTAATTTTTTTTTGTTTTTTTGTTTTAACCAGATTATTTACAAATCTATTTGTTGCCATTTATGAATATTCTCAAATGACATATTTACCATTTAAGTTATTTTACTTCTACAAGAGAATATTTAACTTATAAACAGTTTATAATCTCATGTAATATTTTTTAGAGGTGTAATGGTAGTTTATTTAGTATGTGAATACTTAATTATCCATTAAAAATGGTCCTACATTATTTCTCTACACTGAATTGACTATTAACAGATACTCCACAGAAATTTATTCATTTTTATATCGTATAATAAGATACTCCCTCTGTCCACCATAGATCTTCCCAGACACTATTCACAAGGTCAAACTTTACCCACTTTGTTTGCTTATTTTCACTAGTCATTTCATAAAATAATATAGTTTTGTCACCTCTAGTTTTGTAGAACTTTTCATGTAGTTTATTACTATATAAATTTTATTTTAAAATTTTACTCCTATAATCAATTAAATTGAATTGAAAATAAAGTCGGTCAAGCCTCGTAACGCGTAATGGGAAGATCCAACATGGACGGAGGGAGTATATTTTACTCCGGTATAAATACTAGCCGTATAATACTTACATGAACTCATATCCATATTTTAAAAGTTGACATATGCATGACCAGATTATTAGTCGTTTAGAATTCTTGAATTAAACGTTTGTCATTTTATTTCTCGTTTTAAAAACGAGTTATATAAGTTATTCAAATGAGTTTGTAACTTATCTATTTTGATAATAATATATATGTTCATTTGAAGAATGTGGGAACCTAGGAAGAATGAATGCGAGCATATTTTAAATGAAAATAGGAGTAAATGAGAACTTTAAGGAAGAATGACTAAAATATAGGGGTAAAAGTGTAAAACATGTTAATTATACCTAAATAGGAGTCAAACTTAATCTCTCGGTGTATCATTTTGAACACACGTGGTGTTCATTCTGAAGCAATGTACTATTCACTTTTACACATTTGTTCATTACAATTATAATATTTATTTATGAACAATGTAGTATTCATTCCTAGCTTAGTCAACGTACCGTTCATTCTAGAAAAAGTTAATTAATCATGATGTGCGGCATATTTGATTGTACCATATTATTTAACGCTTGCGAATAAAAGATCAGATTTTAATTTTTTGAGCAAGGTAAAATTGTAACTGGTGGTCCTATTTCTATTTTCTAGGATAAAAAGATCGGGGTCTTATTTTGGGTATACTACCTCCGTCCCGCTATATTCGTCCACTTTTGATTTTTGGAACTGTTCATCTAAGCACTTTGTGTGATCTTGTTTGATTTGTCTTAACATATTCATCTAAGCACTTTGTGTGATCTTGTTTGATTTGTCTTAACATATAGATTATTAATATATAATTTCTACTCCCTCCGTCTCAAAATATTTGCAACATTAGCTTTTTCAACAATCGCGGGAATTTTTGTTTATTTCTATGTTTTCATTGGTTATTTGATAAAATAAAATATTCTTGACACCTCTTATTTCGAAGAACTTTTCATGTAGTTTTTTGATATGTAAATTTTATTTTTTATTTTTATACCAATATGTAAATAAAATGAATTGAAAAAACTTGATATTTTGCCTCGGAAATACAAATGTGGCAAATATTTAGGGACGGAGGAAGTATAATTTTTTAATATACAAATTACAAGATAAAATGAATTAAAGAAGTGTATTGGATGATGTGTAAAAATGAAAGTGGACAAATACTCTGGGACGGAGGGAATAACATTTATATTTTTTGTCATAATTACGATGATGTCTTAGATTTTGATATGGTAAGACAAAAAAATAATACGGAGTAAGTGTATTCTCACCACTACGTAGTTTAATACATTGCTTGCATTTATGGCCTTGTTTGGGAAAAGTATTCTCAATTAGCGTTTTAAATAAAATTTTAACAGTAGATTAACTATGAAAATGCTAAAGTTAAAGGCTATTGTCTAACACAGATGCCAAACAGGGCTTATGTCTCAGATAGATCTCATTTTTTATCGTACAGTCTGAATTTATTATTGAATTTATCTCTTCCTAACGTTTATTTATTTATTTATTTATTTATTTATTTAGGGAGTACATATTTATTTATTTATGGCTTGCATGTCGGTCGTGTGGTTAGATTAGATTGTGGGGAATTGGAAAAAGACAGCTTGACAATTTACCGTACTTTTCACCGCAACTCCATACCGCCAATGAGGAGGCTTTTGTTTGTTTTGCAGAATATTTTGGTTATTTTAATTTTTTTTCCTTTTTACATTTAAACTCATAAAAATATATTTCAGTTTTCTAACTGTATCACCATAGTTAGCTTTGAAATATATTTATACTCCTTCGTATTAAATTCACGATTGTGTTTTACCCAAGCGTCCTACTCCGTAATTACTGAACTCACAGTCAAATTTTTCGCCACTTAAAACTCTCAATTTTGAGTTTTGATAAAAAAAAAACCTTATTAAATTAGCATCGCCGGAAATAAAGAATAATACAGGATTAATTAGTACTCCCTCCGTCCCAAATTATAATGTCTGTTCAATACTCAGACTTCGTTCACTTTCTTTCTCTATTTTCGTTAGCAATTTGATAAAATAAAATATTGTTGTCACTACTAGTTTTGTAGATCTTTTGATATAGTATTTTGATATGTACTTTTTATTTTTTAACTCTATATTATTTGTCATATAAAATGATTTGAAAATAACTTCAGTCAAACATCGTAAACCGAAACAGGCATTATAAAATGGGACGTAGGGAGTATTTTAAATACAATATAATATTAAATAATATTTCACCATCGACAATTCACATGCAACCTAAAACAAGATCGATAGCGCTTAATTAGATTCTCACTTAAAAAAATAAGGTTTAGTTCTAAATCATTGGAGAAGAGCGTGTCTGATCTCTTCCTCCTCCTCCACCGCCGCCGCCACCGCCGCCACCACCACAAGGGATGGCAACTAAGCATTGTGGGTTGTTATTGCGGCAATCTTCATAGACATAGTCAATATTGGTGAAGCTGAAACCTTGATGCTCAAAAACACACTTCTCCAAGCACTCATCGTTCCAAGACGTACACCCCCCTTCCTCTACTTCTGCTGCATATCCTTCCCACACTGAATTATTCATAACAATACATTGGATCAAAAACACCAACAAAACTCCAGCACAATGCTTCTCCTTCACCTTCTTCCCCGTCGTCATGTTTCTAATTCATCTTTCTCCTCGTCCCAACAACCATATATATACTTACTCTACATAATAACGGAACAGAGAAGCATTTAATTTACATTGTGTATGTACGTATCAAAAGAAACAGTCGTTTGTTTCTTAGACTTGGTATATACATTGAACACGGAGTCTGAATTAAAACACGTAACTCAGCATTTATTTATTATTTGGGATTAACAGCACCAAAACTATAATCAGATTGGCATTTAAGGAGGCTGTCTGTAAGAATATAATGCACTAGGAAAAAAACGTTAAAATCTTTGGGGGGTTGGGGGGGGGGGCATCCATTGTCCATACAGATAATGTATTCAGCAATGTTATGTCTTTTGCATTTTCATTTCATACTCATGTAAATGAGAGAGACCATAAATGTTCGAAAAGCAGAAGGGGTTTTGCCGGTTGTGGGACTTTGCTAGAGTTTGGTCAGTAGAAGTACCCAAGGACTTGACCACCGACGTTTTGTCGAACTGCTTCTTCATGATCCAAAACTCCATTTGGTGTTGTTATCACAACATAACCCCACTGCATGGCAGGAACATATTTGTCCTCAAAACGAAATGAATAAAGGATATAACAGACACTGTTACATTAACAAAAATATGATAAATATGAAGTCAACATAGTTCGTTTTGAATTCCAACATATTCAAGTGCATAAACAGTTTGCAGTCATGACAATTGTTGGATAAATCAGTAGAAGAAGCCAAATCATACCAGAAAGGGAGGAGATTGCATGATGTGGACACATGTTGCATTTTTCTTGTTAATCTCACTATTAAGCTCATGATGTTGATAAAGCAAGCTTAAGCCAAGTTTACTGAAAACACCCCCCAAGTTCCTAGAAGTTGACAGCAAATTGATTCAAATGTTGCAAATACCTAAAAGTTAGCTCAGAGTGGCCAGTCATGGATCTTCTCTTACGTTTTATTCATCCTTCCCTCTCTTCCCCTAAAAACATCCATTGATCACTTCAATCATTAAATACACTAGATTTATTGAGCCTGTATTTTCTCTCTTTTCTTGTTATTCTCCATGTCAGCAAAGAGTAAACTAGAACTTCAAAAGCGAACTTGGATTCACTTTTTTTTTTTATTATTTTTACATCTCATTCTTTTTTTGTCTATGTTATCTCTTGTGCCTCCTCAAATCTATGCTTTCTTAAATCATTCTTGCTTCTCCACTACACCAAACATTGATTGCTTCTCCTAATTGCTTTGTTTCAATACTAACTATAAACACAAAATACGGGTCCTATTGAACTGAAAACATATGCCCTGTATCTATCATTTGAACTTGGTTTTAATGTAGTATTGTACAGTGTGCATGATTTTCTTAATAATGTATTTACTATTTAGTTCTACACCTCTACTTGATGAGACGCTTCATATGTTCTTTTTGAACCATTTGTGGTGTTCTGAATAAAAAGTACTTTCGCCATCCCACTGTTTTTGTCCCTTTTTACCCTTTTATCGTCCCACCATTTTAGTCACATATGGTCATATTTTGTGAGATTCACATTCATTTTTACTATAAATAAAATAATGAAGAAAAAAATTGCATTCGCTCTTACTTTATCTTACTTTTAAAACATTAATATCAACCACATAATCTTACTTTTATTATCCGTGCAACTCCCTCATGACCCAAAAATAGTGGGATGGGAGTACTAGATTAGAGAGCCCTCCTAGATATATCGGGCCCTTGTTTACTGCTGGATAGAGTTAATTGATCTTTCTACATTACTGGTCCTTTTATGTAAAATAACAAATAAATGAATATTACTTGAGGAGTTGAGGACTAAAACATCATTTACGCTCGCCACCCTTGTCATGAAAAAGTGTGCTTTGTGTTGAGCTTTGAGCAAAGAGGAGCAGTATTTCTTTGTGCTCTAAAATACTTTTGACTTGCATGGATTAACAATGGTTCAGTTAACACATCTACACTCAATAAGAGAATACAACTCTACATATAAACAAGTTGGACAAAGTACAAGACGAATGGACAAGTGGCACATCAATAAGCAAGTTATTAGTCAAATTATGTTACAAATGGTCTAGTACCTATTTTACAATGAAATCGAAAAGATCATAAGAAAGAACACAAACCTGACGGGTTGGTAATGTACGTTTTGCATAACTTTCAATGTTCTGAGCCTTGATATCTTGTCTATGCGAGAGAGCACGGCAATCAGTGACCCTTCCCGCCAATTGGACTGTAATTGTCCCAACTCTATGAGGGTCCTTTACCTCAAAATCTTTAATATATCCTAAAATAGAAGCACAATCATAAGCAATCCCAAAAGTGAAGGATGACAAACAAGCATTACCAATGCAATAACAAGCAAAGTTGTCTACTACGTAATATATACTCTTTGAAGGAATTAGGAAAAGATAATATTCCATTTGTCCTACAATTTTCAGGTGTGTTCTATGTGTTGGTAACTTATGGAATATGCAGTTATACATATGTACCAATGTATTTCATCATAGGATAAAAGCATAGTTGGGAAAAGCGCACTTGAGGTGCAATGTGCACGAAGCACAGGGGTCTATGCCTCAGGCTTCGTGGTGCGGGTGACTTACAGGAGACGCACGCATAAGTGCGAATCATCACATTATGCCATCTGAGGCACTACAGGGTGCGCATCACAAATGGGCTTATTTAGTTTTTTTTTTTTAATTTTTTAGCTTTAAGATTAGGGTGTACTCACTTTTCTCCGTCCCACTCTTCTGCCTCTCTGTTTCAACTTTGCCTCTTGTCTCTATTTCGACTGGATTCTGCATCTTCAGCTAAGTGGCTTCTCAGTTTTTTCCCTGTTTTTTTTAAATAGCGAGTCTTCACTACTATTTTTTTTGCTTTGACACTTGTTTTTCCCATTCATACAAGGTTAGTCGCTTCTCAGTTTTTTTTCTTGTATCGTCAGTCGCTTCCATTTTTGTAATCATGATGCTTTCCTGTTCTTTTCTTCTCACAGGTTTGTTTCTTCCCATTCATATCCTTTCCGTATGGAAGAATCTCCAAATTTTGGGTTGAAAGAATGACCAAATTCTACTGACCCTAGAGAGAAGTATGCTCGGAGGGTCTCAAAACCAAATAGGAATGACACTATTTACTTATTTTTTATGAACTGTTGCTAATTTAGAGATGCTATGCTACTTATGCCTCAATTTCCACCTCATATTCAAGATGCCGCACATCGAGGCTCCAGAGCCCCTTTGTGCATCGGTGTGCATCGCGGGTTAAACAACTATGGGTAGGTCGCTAAAAAAGAGAAGCTAATTAGAGAGATTCAAGTAACCAAGTATGGAGCACTAAATGTGCAAATTCATCCGAGAGAGAGAGAGAGAGAGAGAACAAGAGAGATGAATCTTCTTTTAGCAAAACCAGAAATTCACATTTTCCTTCCCCTTCGGAAAAAATGCTCCAACACAATGAAAGTATGAAACATATCAAAAATCACATATCTAGGACATTACTATCTATCAAAATATCTCCCAAAATAGTTGATATGAACTAGCATTTAAATTAATAAACACAACAATGTTGGGTTATTTGGTGAAGGCTTTAGAGCTTTGGGCTTTAAGCCCGGTCGGTTAAAGGGAAGAAATATGGGGGCCGGTTTTAGTTATTAATAAAAGGGCCCATTAGTTGTTTCTTGTTTAGCAAGTTGTTAACCCTAATTTATATCTTATAAATACCCAATCATGTAACTATAATCTATGAGCACCTAATAAAAGATAAACCCTAGTTGCAACCCGTGGAGTAGGTTACTGACCGAATGTTGGGTGTTTCTTTGGCCAAAGTAGCAAGGTTGCCAGGCTGTTGGCAGAATTGCGTTCTTAACTTTGGATGGACGTATCTCACGAACCGTAACTCGGAATTGAGTGAAATCAGTGGCCAGACGAAGATAAAAGGATAAACTTCCAAACTGGAAAGTTTCACTTTGAAATCAGTTTTGCACCTTTCTCCGTGATCACTTCTTTGGGGCTGAAATTTTCAGGAGCAATTTTCAGCAGTCTTGTTTTTGTGCAACATGAGTGAAGCTGGTCCTCTGGGTAATCGTCGAGACTTGAGAAAGTCGTCGAACCAGGCTCTGATACCAGATGTTAGGGGTGAACCGGGGGTCTTACCAAGTTGTTATTTTTGGAGATGGAATTGTGGAATAATGAAGGGGAAATGGGCTGGATGAAAATATGGGAATGTGAAGGAGTTCTTTTTGGGTTTTGATATTATGAAGAAGAGTGGAAAATCAGGGATGAAGGATGGGTTTAGAAAGGATGGGATAAATTCCAAATAAGGAATAAGAGATAAACACACTCTTATCTTAATTTGGAGCCAAATTAATACTAAA